TTTAAAAATTGAATGTATAATGACCCAATCATTATATATAAAAAAAAAATACTCATTCTGTTCTATGATCTGTAAAATGATATTTGATACCTCAACATATTTCTGGACATGTTCATTCTAATAACATGTAATACCATTGCTGTATTATAATATCATACAATATTTATTTAGTATTAATTGTTTAAAAATTGGTTTATGTCATTAATAATTATGAAGTTCTGGAAATAAAACTGTACATCCAAAACAAAAAGTAAATTATGCTAAAATAGACATGCTAATGACTTAACTTCTTATGGTTTTAAGTGCTTATGACCAGAGTCCTGATATATTATAACTCAATTAAATAAATACTAAATATAAAATTACAAGTACATAATAATCTGTATTTTTATTTATTGAGCTCCCAATACAACTTCTAATTAGCATCTCATATCTGTGTAATTTCTCTGCTAGTATTAATGGTATAGAAATGTTATAACATCTGAAGGGTTATGGGGAAACTAATCAATAATCAAAAGGTAMTATAATTATTTAGATTTTTTTTTTTTACTGATCGTTTTTCCCCGTAACCTTTCATCTGTATTYGTATTTGTAGCTAGGGGGAGGWCTGTGTTTAACCCATCATCCTCAATTGACATTTGTTCCCCTTATAAATGTTGTAAATTTAGCTTAGTTTATACTCACCCTCCTCCCTAATTCATAATCCTCGGCCATATCTACACCATTGTTAATATCTTGATACCAGTATACTGTAATATCAGTATATTGTTATATACTACATAGCTATAACAGCTGGATGATGTTCATATTTTCTTTTTAATTTATTAACAATTCATGCATTATACTAATTAAAACTGTATAACAATTATTTTTATAAATGCATCTTAATTAATCTCACAATACATAAGCAGCAATTGCATTCAACTATTCTTAATAGTTAATTTTATATAGATAGTTAACTAAACTTTAAGCCAAATTTAGATTTGAAGTCTTACATACTGATTTATTTGATGACTTAACTTTCTATAATTTTACCTCAACTTAAAAATCATTAATTATTTAATGAGAACAATGAAAGTATAACCATTTGAAATAAGACTATTTTATTATAAATGATAATGTTGTGTATACAACTAATAACAAAATTCACAACCACAAAGTTTACATCAAGTTATAGCCTATAGGAAATTTAAAATTTAGTACAATATATTTTCAAAACTTTTTGAACATTGTATATTTTATTATAATTYGAAATTTAATATTATTGGTATTAATTATATTAACAATTTTTTTGTGTCGTCATATTTTTTTTTTTAAATTAAACTAATTATTATTATGCTATATTTGTTGCAAGCGGTATTTGATCTGTATATTATAATACAAACATATTATACTATCATATTGTTTTATTATTTTATAAATTTAACTGACGTCTGATTATGTCTGATCTAAAGTTAATTTTTTAAGTTTTGTTCTTGTTTTAATAAATAGATTTCAACAATTAGGTTTTATCATAAGTTTAGTAATATATCATTTATGGTTAGGATAGGTTTGTTATGTTAAATGTGAAAACATCCAACTATTATTTGTTAAAAGTTTATATCTATATTTTACCACTCTCATTGAAATCTGGCAATAACATTAGTTAAAAAAAAGTTAGGTATACTGTATACACATTCGAATACTTAAATATAGTATATGAATATGAATCATATAATATATTATAAGATCTTTAATACTTATTTTATAGTTGCTCACTCCACACAATGTGTTCATCTGGTAGTCTTGTAAAAGATATTTTTTATAACTATAAACTACAAATAAAGTACACAAAGGTTCTTATTTTATTTGAAAACACATTCCAATCTTAAATATACTACAGCTATTATATTGCTATGTAAGCTTCTGAACGTAAAATCGAGTACCTACGATATTAGTATGATCAATAAAAAATTATGAACACTACGGGACCTAGGTAATGTGATTATATGAAAAAAAAAATATTAATTTAATTAAATATTTTCTAAATGTGTCTTAATAGTTTATAGAACAAGACTTCACATCTTAATAAAATAAAAGTGATTTAAAGTTTAAAACTAAGATGTTTTAAAGAATTCTTTACCTATGCAGTTGAAGCTAAAAATAAATAAATACTTGCTAGTTCCTAACATGCTTTACTACATGACTTTTTCAAATAAATATTATGAAATGCTCTCTTAAAAATATAACAACCAGCCAAACTATCAACATAGCCACATAATTAACAATAAGTCTTCATCAAATATTATGAAATGCTCTCTTAAACCCTAAAAGTTAAGGTTGTGGTCTTCTACAATTTTTTAAGTAAAGACAAAACTGTCATACTTTAAGATGTAGCTGTATTGCATAAAAATTGATTTAAACTGTAACCAAAGTTATAACCATTATTTTGTATAATTTATATGCATTTAAGTAACAAAAATCAAAGTTTTGTCGATAATGATTAGTTATAATAATATAAATAAAGGTTAAAATTATTGTAATTTTCAGACAAATTKTGTACATYCATTCCTACACCTGCCAATAGCAATAATAGCATATTAAAACCATGACATGTACCTATATCTTAATTCTCTATTTGTAGTTTCTGGTGGACAAGTGTTTCTTACCATTTCTAATTATATTGAACATATAACACATACAGTTAAATCAAGATACTAAACAACATGTTTAATATAAGTCAAATATAGGTATTTAAAAAAATTATTTTATTTTACTTTACTTTTTCTGCCAGTTTAAGATTATTTACCAAGAATTATACTATAAGTTTTATAATTTTATCCTTGCCAACACGGCACACTAAAATATCGTTTTATCCTATTGGGCATTAGCACATACACTGTGCCATATCGCCCATATGGCATATGCCCATTGTACAAGGTAGGTACCTACTTATAAGTTRTACTAGTACCTGCCAATTATTTTAATATTTTATTACAACTTTTTTTTATGATATAATAAGAATACCTTAAAGAATATATTATTCATAATATAATATCACTAAATTATGATTATCTAGTTTTTTATATCTCTATAGATATATTTTTTGATTTTTAATATTTTGCATTTTTCCTAATAAAATAAGATTATCAATCGTGTAAATTAATATACAGTGCCCACTATAATTTAAAATATGTTTCTTGGTTTAAATAACCAAACCATATGTTTACCCAAATAAAATAAATGAAAATAATTTGAATAACTATGTTTGAAATTTAGTCAAATAACTTTTTATTCAAATAATCATATAGTTTAAAATTATTCGAATACATATATTTATTCGAATGATTGTTAAAAAATCACCCGAATAAAATATTACCTAATAAAAACACCACCATTTATATCTCATCATTAGGTGATTCGTGGACATTACTGACATAGTCTGCAATAACCAGAAGTTGCAAAAAAAAAAAAACATGCTGTTGCATACAAATCCTAGCCCTGGTTATCACAATTTCGCCTGCAGTAGATAAACATAGTTATAGGTGTACTATTGCCAATATTATGTAGTATATTTATTTATTGTTAGAAGTAACTATAAATAATGTTGTACCTTGTGCACTGTTAGTAATTTTATTTTAAATTGATTCTATTCAAAATGAATTCCTGCTTGACAGTATTAAACAATACAACAAATATGGGTTGGTATTTAAAATAAATATGTTATCCAATATAAATAAATAAATACATTTATATACATATATACATATTAATAGGTAGGTATAAATATTTTATAGTTTACAAAATTATTTTTAAATTAAGTTCACTGCATTTTAATAAAATACGTTTAGAAACCAGGAATTTATTACGGTTGTAGGTACAATATGATTTAAATACACAATATGTTGCATAATATGTATGTTTCCGCTGGACTATTCGAAAAAATAAATAACCCATTAATTATAATACCATAAATATACCTATAATAAAATGACATGTAATAACTAATAAAATGTAAAAATATTACCACACTTAGATACAAAACAATAAATCACATAACTGAAATAATAATGCTAAATAATACACAACGGGTATATTAGAATAATTCCCTTGGAGAAATTAGTGATCGCTACTTTTTCCTCCAAGTACAGTAGGTAACTGGTTTTCTGTGTTTATGTTGGCTATATTATACTAATCTTAGAGGGGAAGGGTAGAAGGTACCAAAACAATATTGTGGCCCGGCTCCCCGTCACTTTCCCACCAAATCGTTATCAATCCACTCTTTCTCAGTCTGTAATCATGAGTAAGCAGTTTTCTTTCTACCGTGACGCAGTAGTCGCCCCCAAGGATTGAGGTTATAGTTTCCACCGCGCCCACATACTGCGTTAGTGGTGACAACCCACACGCCAGCCATTATGTTTCATTTCCACTGAGTTGACGATGGCCGAGCCGACGCAGCAAAACGAATACCAATTGGGAAACACTGGTCGTCATGCTTGGATCATCTACGTGCGTGTCATAACACGGTCAGTCATGGTTTTTTTAATTTAATTATTCTCCGCCATTATCTTTTTAGCGTCAATTTTTTTTTAAAAAACATAATGTATTCAGTATCAGATTGTTACGATTTTCCGTATTTCAAATTTTTATTACATAATAAATACATATAAATATACTGTTCAGTTTATACTCGTCACTAATGATGTCTGACGCGAACGATAAGCGTTCAAGATTGCTGCCGTTGTAATAACCAGAACAAACCATGTATCCTGTCGGCCAACGTGAGTACAAACGCTATATGCTTACAAACACTGACACACAAACATACGCTCATTTCACATATGTGACGGACGATCCAAGTTTCGATATCAGTTTCCTCGGGGACGYGAGTTCGAATCCCGCCACTGCCACAAAAAATGTTATGGACCATCCAAAGATGTCCACGCACAAATATAATAACTTACACTTTCGAACTAATTACTTTATATATTTGAAATTAAATAAATAACTTACAACTCAATTAATGAAAAAGGCTTTATAGGTTCTAAACAATTTGAATACTCTGTGTCTAGCACTAGACTGTCGCGCTTACCCGTTATGTGCGTGAGATATCTAGGCCGGTGTTCTGATCTCGAAGGCTTACAGCAAATTTTTAGAGACCGGTGACTGCTTACACGTATAAATATAAACAATATTACTTAACTGTCTATTACAGTAATATTTAAAACAGTGGTTCTTATTTCTTAACACATACCTTTATGTGAGGATTGATCAACAAAGCAATAAAGATAATGAGTTTTATTCCTAGAATAATATCGCGTTAACGAGATTACTGTGGTGTCTTAAGCTGTTTGTAATTTTAGGGGTAAAAAAAAATGTGGCATAAATCAATCATTTTTAAAATTCACTAGCTGAAAGTTAGAAAAGCTTCCGTCGACGCTTACGATCTTCGAYCCTTTGATGTCGTTTTGTTTCACTCAATTTCGTTATTTAAATAGGTTTGTAGTTTGCATTAAAGGATTGAAAAAATTCGCTGAAAAATAAAAATTTTATAAGATTTTTTCTTGGGTGGTAATTACTCTAATCAGAGTAGTGGTTCTATCAAAAAAAAATTTTATTGAACAATTTTATTTTAGAATGGATATTAATAATTTCCCGAATTCTGAGAAATATTACTTGTCACTTAACCCCTTATTTCATCTTGATAAAATTATGTATTTAATGTATTGCATTATTATTAACAATGATATACAATTAATATTTTAACTATCTATAATGGATATTAAGATAGGGTAAACACACGAGAATTTGTCACGGGAAGTTTTGATTATGACTAGCCGGGTAGGTATAAACGATGAATTAACCAAACATTTTTAATCATATAGAGTGGGTATTTTTAACAGGCAACGGGAATCTGCTATAGTTATCTATAAAACCATAATTGTCTGAATGTTCTAGTTCCTGAGCCACCTGTTGTAGCCCCAGTGTCAATTAATACACCTGAAGCAATGAGCGTTCTTCAACCTCAGGATTCTGCACTGGAAACACAACCAGTTGATGTACCAGGTAAAATTGAATTATAATAATCTAAATTTTTTAATGTTTATTTTTAATAACATAGGGTTTTTGCTTATTTATGAACTATTTACCATTACAAATTATTTGTTATTAATTCACAGTATTCAACTGTCCTTGCCGACCAAATTTAGGACGAGAAGGCCGATCAATTGTACTTCGTTCTAATCATTTTAAAATATCAATGCGACGTGGTTTTTTACATCATTATGACATCAATATTCAACCAAATAATTGTCCTCGAAAAATCAACCGTGAAATTATTGAAATTATGGTTCATACGTACAGTGAACTATTTGGTAATCTTCGTCCTGTATTTGATGGTCGTAAAAACTTATACACAAAAGATCCATTACCTATTGGAAACGATCAAGTTGAATTAGAAGTATATATATTTTTAAATTGTATTGTGATAACATTTAATTTTATTAATTTGGATTTTAGGTTACATTGCCCGGTGACGCTAGAGATAAAGCATTCCATGTTAATATCAAATGGTTAGCTCAAGTATCATTATTTGCTTTGGATGAAGCATTAAAATGCCGCACTAAACAAATACCATATGATGCTGTTATGGTTAGTTCATCTTATTCTAATAACTTTTATTTGATAATTAATGATTTATCATTTATTTGTTTTGTGTAGGCCTTAGACGTAGTCATGCGACAATTTCCATCAATGACCTATACACCTATAGGCCGGTCATTTTTTTCTCCACCAAAAGAATATTATCACCCATTAGGTGATGGTAGAGAAGTCTGGTTTGGTTTTCACCAGTCATTCCAGCCATCTAAATGGAAAATGATGCTTAATGTTGACGGTAATTATTTAAATAAAATGAACTTATCTTCATTTACGTATTTTTTTTTTTTTAGTGTCAGCAACAGCTTTTTATAAAAGTCAGCTTGTGATAGAATTCATGTGTGAAGTGTTGGATATTAAAGATATCGATCAACAAAAAAAGCCATTATTAGATTCACAAAGAGTTAAATTTGCAAAAGAAATTAAAGGTCTTAAAGTAGAAGTTACACATTGCGGAGAAAAGCGAAGGAAATATAGAGTTTGTAATGTTACAAAAAGACCAGCTCAAATACAATCGTAAGTAAATAGTCTTGAAACTACTTTACATTGCAATACATTCTTCGAATCCATTTTTAGTTTTCCAATGCTATTGGAAAATGGTTGTAAAGTAGAATGCACAGTAGCTAAATATTTCTTAGACAAATACAAGTTGAAACTACGTTATTCACATTTACCATGTCTTCAAGTTGGAGAGGAACATCTACAAGTATATCTTCCTTTAGAGGTTTGTTTATTATGTTTATTTGGCGGATAAATATATTTTGAATAAACCGTAAAAGTATAGTATTTAATTACTTTTGAATTATAATTCAGCTACTAATCAATATATACTAATATGCTTTATAATATATTATGATCTATCTAACTTTAATAAAATTATAGGGTTTCGCATGCACCTGTTATTTTAATTGTTCTACATAAAAATTAATCAGAAACAAGTATACAAATGCACAATTAATTAAGATTATTACTTAATTCTACATAAAACGATACATTTTATTTAAATCTTATTTAATTTGTTCTATGTGTATCGGGTAAAACAGTTGTTGTAACTTAAATAACATATTTATTATAAAGTTTACATATAAGATCACACTAATCACAGTATATGATATGTGATGTTAAACAAGAATATAATGTTGATCTGTGTTTGGCAGTAGCATGTAGTAACCACTGTAAACTTCTTTTTAAAGGTTTGTAATATTGTAGCGGGTCAACGGTGTGTTAAAAAATTAACCGACTTGCAAACATCAACTATGATTAAGGAAACTGCAAGAAATGCTCCTAATCGTGAACAAGATATTAATTCCTTAGTTCATAGAGCTGATTTTAATAATGACTCATATTTACAAGAATTTGGTCTTGGCATATCAAATAGCATGACAAAAGTGCATGGTCGTGTTTTACCACCACCAAAATTACAATATGGAGGACCAACTCTGCCTATTCTGGTAAATATATCCAGATTTTTGTACAATGAGTACACTTTATTAAATTTTAATAAGAATCCATTACTAAAAAAATATTTTTTAAATAGTGCTTGTTTAATTATATAAATTATATCGGTTTTAGGGAGAATTAAATGTCCAAGAGACTAAACAACAAGCAACACCAAATAATGGTGTTTGGGATATGAGAGGCAAACAATTCTTTGCAGGTGTTGAAATTCATAATTGGGCAATATCTTGTTTTGTACCACAAAGAATTGTGCGTGAAGAATCGTTAAGGTAACTATAAATAATTTTATAATTATTATAATTAATGAAAGAACTAAATAATTTAACAATGTATTGTGTCTAGAAGTCTAAAAATTCATAGTAATTTTTCTTATTAGTATGTACTGTATATTATTTATTGCATAGATTTTTTATAACAAAACTACAAAGTATAAGCAGCGATGCTGGCATGCCAATAATTGGTCATCCATGTTTTTGTGAGTATAAAATATGTAACAAATATAATTTTATTTGACTAAGTATTTTTTTTCTAATAGGTAAATATGCCTCAGGGATTGACCAAGTAGAACCTATGTTCCGTTTTTTAAAATCAACATTCACTAAATTACAACTTGTAATCGTTGTTTTACCAGGGAAAACTCCAGTATATGGTACTGTAGTTTTATTTTTTAAGAATTTGTTTCCTGCTTAATTTATTCAAATATAAAAATATAAAATGTTTATTAATTATTRTAATTAGGTGAAGTCAAAAGAGTTGGAGACACTGTTTTAGGAATGGCTACACAATGTGTTCAAGCAAAAAATGTTAATAAACCGTCACCTCAAACACTGTCCAATTTATGTTTGAAGATCAATGTGAAATTAGGTGGTATCAATAACATTCTTGTACCAAGCATCAGACCTAAAGTACATAAGCTTATAAAAATCACTGGTTTCCTATTAATAGTTAATTTATATCATTTAGGTATTTAGTGAACCATTGATATTTTTGGGTGCAAATGTAATTTATCAACCTTTAGGTGATCATAAAAAACCATCCATTGCAGCAGTAGTAGGATCTATGGATGCACATCCCAGTCGTTATGCCGCCACTGTACGTCTTCAAGAACACAGACTAGAATTCATTCAAGACCTTAGTTCTATGGTCTGGTATGTAGCACATAAAATTTTCTTTGTTATGATTGTAATATTGATTATAATATTTAATTTTAGGGAACTCCTGATCATGTTTTACAAGAGTACAGGAGGTTATAAACCTCATAGAATTATATTATACCGGGATGGAGTATCAGAAAGACAGTATTCTCATGTATGTTTAGATATATTAGATACTAGGGTAGCATTTTTATTTATCTTTTTAATAAGGACTTGTCTCTAGTATTGTACTGTAGTTTTATGTTTTAAAGCTAACAGTATCTTGAGTAATGAAGTATATTCAAGTACTCAATATGTTTAGTATACATAATTACATATACATATCAAAGTAAAAGCAACCTTATTTATAGCTATATTATAGGTAAATTAAATATAAAAGGATGTCAKCGCAATTTAATGTTTTTATCAGACCTACGGTCATCATAAATAAAATACATACGTAAAATAGCTTTTATGATTTTGAGCGAACTTGGAGTAGATCACCCATTACAAAAATTATAGAAGATATTTTTGAGGGCTTGTCATGCCAGTTTTATATTTTAAAATGATTTGATTTTGTATACAACTTTCAAAATAAAATAAAAAAATTGTAAATTAAAATGAATTTTTAAATTTCGTTAATATATTTTATACAAATCGATAAGTCGTACCCTAAAATGATTATTTTCTATAGTTTTTTTGAAAGACAAGTTTACTCTTAGAATAACTCAAAAACTGAAAAACCTAAAAAAAAAACAATTATGCGTGAATGCGTATTTCTATGTTGCGCAAGGGCCTGAGAGAGAAAGCTAACAGTGTCTTAACGTTGATGTTTCATCATCACATTTTTTTAAATATAATTAATTTTTGTATTATTATTGATTTTCAAATATCACATAAATTATCATTTATTTTTTGATGTGTTTTCTTAAAGTGATTATTTTCTATTGACATAGGTCTTACAACATGAATTGACAGCTATTCGAGAGGCATGCATAAAGTTAGCAGGTGATTATAAACCAGGAATAACTTTTATAATGGTTCAAAAACGTCATCACACCAGGTTTGATTTTTTTAGTATTTCAAGTCTTATATATTTAATATATTATTGTATTTTATTTTAGATTGTTCTGTGCTGATAGAAAGGAACAATTGGGAAAATCTGGAAATGTTCCAGCTGGTACAATAGTTGATGTTGGAATAACACATCCAACAGAATTTGATTTTTACTTATGTAGTCATCAGGGAATTCAGGTAATAATATTTTGTAATAATAGTTTTTTACTTGCATATATTTTGTTTAAATATAAAAAATGTTAACAGGGAACCAGTCGGCCCAGTCATTACCATGTTCTATGGGATGACAACCATTTTAAATCCGATGAATTGCAATGCTTAACATACCAATTATGTCACACTTATGTCAGATGTACACGTTCTGTATCTATTCCTGCACCAACTTATTATGCTCACTTAGTTGCATTTAGAGCTAGATATCACATAGTCGAAAAAGAACATGACAGGTAACATTATTGAATTTACCTATTTGAATATTATTTTTGTAGAGTTCATTAGGGTTATTATTATTATTATTATAATTTTTTTTTGAGAGAGAGAGTTTACTTGACCCAAAATTATTTTAATTCAAATTGGAATTAATAGGATTAAGGATGTTATTGAAAAATTGTTATTTATTAGTTTTTGATTCCAAGAATGTATTCTGATTAATTATTTTAAAACAAAATAGGCTATCAGTGTAGCTTTTCGTGGTATAAATAAAAATCCAAAAATATTTAAAACTTTAATTTTGGACCTTACACAAAATTATTTAATGAGTTTGCACCTATGATGCATATTATCATTTTTTGGTAGAGAAAACTAAAATGTTAGGGATCACTCAACACCTACTGTACCTATAGTGCCGCAACTACCGCTTGATGGGCCTTCAAAATKAATGCATCGGGACCTAAGATTTATTTGAACTTTTTTTTCGTATATTATAATAAATATGAGCAAAATTTTAAAATATAATATTAAAAAAAAAAAAATTATTAATCCTTATCAGCCTGAAATGTATATGTATATKTCAATTTYGTMTGAATTAAAAGGCTATTTTTATACATACTGGAAACACCATGCGAGCCAACTCACCAATCCCAACAAATTATATGATTATATAATGTAGTAATATTAATAAGTATACTTATTATAGCGTTTATTTATAGTGTTTATAAACATTCATCAGGCAATTATTATCAGAACCGTCAACCGTAACTTTCTCACATTCATCACTCGTCAGTAGATTAATTATAATTATAGGAGGCTTGATGTAAATGAAGAAAATCTCCGTGTTACAGTATTATTACCACTCATAGATACAGCGATCATCCAACTTATAGAAAGACTTACAGGTTTATACGAAGTCACTAACAAATTTAATTTTCTGGTGCCTCGAAATATTTTGAAGTCTAGTGAACATGATATTGTAAAAGCAACTTACGACTTTCAACTATTTTATAAAAATGACATCAGTTCAGATATAACTAGGCAAATGTTATGTATTAAAAATGTATATAAAGATTCTCTTAAAACAATCCACAGCATAAAAAATCTTTTGCAGTATCTATTGGAGAATGATGTGGCCTCTATTTACAAAGATATTTTCAGTGCATATATTATTTTCTTAACATTGCCGGTCACTGTAGCAAATGCAGACCGTYCATTTTCCAAAATAAAAATTATTAAAAATTACTTAAGAAACTCCWTGCTACAAGTTCGCCTTACAAATATAAGTATTTTGAACATTGAGCGAAACTGTACAAATGAATTGGATAAAAATAAAATAATGTATGATTTTGTTAACAACAAAGCAAGAAAAAAAATGTTCTTAAATAATTTGTTGTTTAAATATATTTTATCTAATATATTATTAATTATTACTTATAAGTATTTGTAATTTTTTTATTCAATAAATCAATAAATAAATGTATTACTCACATATTATTATTATAAAAACAGCAGCAATTTTTTAATTTAAAAAATAATCTTATATACATTATACACACAAACACAGACATATATTATATACTTAATATACCTTTTTAAATATAATAACCAAAATGAGAAATTATTGTTACATAGTTAGCATATTAAAACATAAAAATATATTATTTTCAATTATTGTATGTACTATGTAGGTATATAAAAACATTATAAATTAAAAAAATTGGAAAACAAAGTATTTAAGTTGCTTAGTTATAACTTATAAGGTAGGTACAAAATGCCTATATTGATTTATTTTTGATAATTGTGCTGGTTAGTCTTGACAAAATTTATTATAGGTACTGTAAASATGCACTGTTTCCAACTAAGTTGTTCTATGGGTTTCAAAACTTTTGAAGTAGAGTAGATGTTGAAATTATAAGAGAAAGTAGCAAAAACATTTTTTTGTGATGTATGATATTTGAATACTTTGTATACCCTCCTCCCATCAAATCATAGCTCATTAATTCATCAATGACTCAAAATTTAGACACCACTGTCCACTGACAATAAGGGGCCTCTAAAATTAGCTTGCACCTGGGTCTTTAAAATTATAGTTGCGGCACTGCTACTGTATAGTAGTTGTTCTCCCTGTATTATTTGTTATTCATGTGAAYTTTATGTATATGAATTAACTTACTAATTAACACAACAGTTAAAAAAAAAATTCTGATACTGAGAGAGGATTACAGCGTGTTATCCTCCCTGCGAATGCCACTGGTCTTAGTTAAAAACTGATTCTGAGTATTAATATTGGACTTTTTGGAAGTATTAAGTGCAATCGAAATAATACGATTATTTTTCTATATAAAATCCTAATTATTTAATTTAAAAATTCATACTGACATTGCTTATAATTACGTTTATTTATGAATTATTTATACWAGCAAACTTATTGTTTTTTAGTGGTGAAGAATCACATATATCTGGCTGTAATGAAGATAAAAAACTGGTCGCAATGATGCCAGCTATCACAGTACATGCCGATACAAAGAAAGTTATGTATTTTGCTTGAAATACCGAAATTGAAAAAAAAAATATTATTGCACAATACATAAACTTATTGTGATAAAAATTTTGTAAAAAACTTTAATTTTAATTAATGATTAATACCTATTATATTATATTTTTATATTATACATATTCAGTGGTAAATAAATTTATGGGTACACGTACCTAAAAGTAGTTTGAATATACTTATATATTTATATACCTACCTTAAAAAATTTTCTCAATCCAATCGAAAAATTATTACACTTAGAGTTTAATAATCTTTTATGACTTAATTACAAACGCTTACCCTTCATGTGTAATGTATAAAATGCCGTTGCGTATATAGGGGAGTCACCCTTTATTTACCCTCCCCCCAAAAATTAATTCCTATAAACGCCACTGTGTGTATTATGTATCAAATATCAGTATCTAATAATGTATTATTTTTTTTTTAATTAATAAAGTTCATAAATAATACAACTTTTTACTATCAAATTTAAAAAAAAAATGTATAATAAAATAATAGACTACATTAAAAAAATAATAAACAACTTTAGATAATATACAGTATTTATATTAGTCTATATTATCTATTTATACATGTTAATAACGTATCAAAATTAAAATATTATTATGAATCATTTTTAAGAATTAAAAAACTGTCCATAAACTTTTATAGGCTTCTGTATCTTCTTTTTTTTTTTGATTGCGACTGCTCAAAAGTTCGATCTTGTGACCAATGAGTTACCTGAAATTATTTCGAAGTCTTATAAAGTTATAAGAAAAAAATAATATATATTGTTAAATATTTTACCAAATTTTCATTAATGGTTTTAAAAGCATAATCTAATATATAGACATCATTATTGACCATAACTTCCTGTAAATATAATAAAATGGTTTCTTACTATAAACTTGAATTTTTTTTTAAATAAAACTAGTTAAGTTAGCTAAATTAATATATAAATGATAATAGGATAAATAAACAATTTAATAACTTATTTTTTTACTATCTGACAAATTATTAGTAATTGCTACTTCATAATCTGTTGGTTTATGTTTTTTGGTCTAGAAAAAAAAGGTACATAAAAATAATTAGTTATTTTTTGTTAAGTAGCAGTACGTTTATTACTATCTATTATCGATCATATATTAATATAGGTATTTAAATATAAAATATTAATTTATATTACCTATATAAAAATAATAATTAATAAAAATATAATAAGAAACTAATAGTTTGATTTGATAATTTGGTGGATAATAAGTAATAACACGATGAATCAACAATTATTATCATGTATTAATTTTACAATGGCGTGTATGAGTTTTTTTTTGTGTCTGTCATCACGTTTTAGGGCATTCAATAACCAGCTATGTGACGGAGAGAGGACCTATATTGGGGTTTTGGTTTTGGGCAGTAAAAATGCTTCGATTTTTAACTTCAGTACCTCATTCGATCAGAAAGTGAACCTAGTTGGTGCTTTGGAAGGTCAAAAGTATAAAATTCTTAAAATTTTTCTAAATAATCGGGATAAACAAACTAAAAATTAAGGAAAAAACTGGAATTTTTACGCACAATCAGTTTTCGACAAAATCGATTTTGTTTTTGATGTAACTTTAAAACAAATTACCATAGATACATGAAATTTACCCTGAACGTTTATATAAGTATATTCTATCGACYATGCAATTAAAAAAAATTTCGACTGAAGTTTAACTATTTATAGGCATATGCAATTTTCGATCATTATTAGTTTTTTTTAAATTAATATCGATAAAAATTTATTTAATAGGTAAAAAGCTTGAAAATTTAATACAAGGTTCCTAATATATTGCTACAATAGCAGTGGAAAAATTAAAGAAATTCAGTCACAATTTTTTTTCATAAGCATTCAAAGTTTGAATTT